GCCTGCAGTCGCAGCCCCGGGAGAGACTACCGGTAGTTTAAGGGAAGATGCAGAGGACGGGTGGCACCATCCTCTCTTTGTAACAACGATGAGAAGTGTCATTACGCTGTCTTCATCGTTCATCTTTAACTCATGGGCACAGCTGACTGAACCAAACCTTTGTTCATAATTTACTCAGAAAAGCAGCCGTGTTCTATCATTTTCTACTCTAGACAAACCTGCCAGTGTCTGTGTGATGCACGTCTATGGTCAGTACTGGCGACCCCCAGACTCCATAGGAAGAATGTGATGTTTTTGTGGGTACCTGAGTTCTGAATGTGCTGCTGCAGCGTTCAAGCTGGAGCTCTGGTTTACACGTTGTCACTGAGGTGGGAAACATGGCTTCTACTTACGTTTGGGTTTTGTTCTCAACAAGGGTAATGGATGTCAGTGGTTCCTGGAGAGCATGAAGGCAACGCTAGCTTCCTTCTGGACAGTTCCTTTCTTACTGTTGGGGTTTTTATCTGGAATATTGAGCATGAACTTTGATGTTTTGAAATAAAAACTTCTTTAACTTTGGAGCAGCTGATCACTTACTGCAGAACCCATGTCATTTTCAGACATTAAAATAATCCCCTTTAAATGTTGATTCTGGCGTCAAAGACAAAGTAATGTTGCACTGCCTGTTGTTAATGCATAAATATTTAAAGATTATTATCACTGAAGAATATGAGTTCTGTTTAGTTTTTATAACCTTCGTGTTCAGCAAGTGCCTTAAAATGTCTGCGTTGTAAGCTGCTTACGTTTGACGCCTGTGTGTGTTATTTGTCACGACATTTCCCTTTTTCTGACATGAATTTAAAATGTGTTTGTTCTACTTTTGACATGCTGGATTAAGTTATTTTTGTAGCCAAGTTGTTGCTGGTTTTTGATTAAATAACAGCGACTACTGTAACAAAACTTGGAACAATAAATGTTAAGTCTCGCATCGATCTTGTGTGTTTTATTGTTGTAATATTTGCTAAAACCTTACGTTTATGTAA